AGCTGGTCTTTCCTGTCCAAAGTGCCTGAGATGAAGTCGCTCCATCCTTGCCTCTAAGGAGAATTCTTCCAAGTCAGAGCTGTTAGTTCCTTTGGCAGTCCCCGGTCCTTCCACGAGTCTTCGCCAGCACCATCCTTCAAATGCAGGGCTGCTTCTTCGGTCTTCCTTATTCCATGTCCAACTTTCACAAGCGATTGATGAGCCCAGAGCTTGGCTCAGGCGCACCTCAGCCCTCAAAGTAGCAGCCTTGCCTTTGGGCACCGAGTTGAAAAGCTGGGTGGAGGGGTTAAACGTCAAAACAAAACAAAAAGCCCAGCACAATTCTGTAGCCAAGGTGAGCTGTCCAGGTCTCAGGGGCGCCCTTCACTGCCCACTGCCCGCTTTCCACGAAAATATCTTCACTCTCAGAACTGAGCATTCTGAAGTGACTCATCCCCTGCACCCCAGCCGCTCCCCCAGACCCGGGGAGACATCTCTTTTACATCCCAGTCCTCGATCAGAGGACTCAAGACAGAGCCAGGCTCTGGGGACCCCTCAGTGGATGCTGATGACATGAACGTGTTCCCAGATCGATTGAAGCCAAAGGAACAGAACGGACCTTCCCGGGAAGCCTTAGGAGGAACCAGAAGGCCGACGACACCCTGGTCTTGAACTCCGGACTCCAGAACTCTCCTGGGTCTTTGGTTACACTAAGCCAAGACTTTGTCCTATGTACTTAGGGCATGTTGTTGGGAAAGACCAACCTCCCCTGGGGAAGGACATCAGGTTTGGCAAAGTGGAGGGGCAGCAGGAAAAGGGGAAGGCCCCAAGGAGATTGATTGACACTGGCTGCAACAAGGACCTTAGTCATCGGCACAGTTGGGAGGGTGGCGCAGGACCGGGCAGTGTTTCTGCCGTTATGAGTCCCAGCCAACTCGGTAGCAAACAACAAGAAGATCTCAGGCAACATCACTTGGCTCCTATGAAACCTGTTTTGACCTCCCAGAACCCCCTTCAGGGTCTCAGGGCCCCTTCTGATAACTGCGGCTGAGATACTTTATTGTGCCAGCCTGGCCGATAAACACAAGTGGGATTAACTGAAGGGCGGAGAGATAAATGGCTCGGTCAGCCTCGCCTCTCTTGTCTCTCGCTCTTTGATCATCAGACCAGTGTGCGGCTGCCTTGCTTGTTCTGTGCCTCAATTTACAGGCTACACGACCT